GGGGCCACGAAACGTGTGAGGGGTGTGCCGAAATGGGTGTGCGGGACGCATGCGGACGGCAGCCTGGGGCCTTCGGTGGAGCTCCCTATGGGGCCACGAAACGTGTGAGGGGTGTGCCGAAATGGGTGTGCGGGACGCATGCGGACGGCAGCACTGGGGCCTTCGGTGGAGCTCCCTATGGGGCCACGAAACGTGTGAGGGGTGTGCCGAAATGGGTGTGCGGGACGCATGCGGGCACAATGGGGACCTTCGGTGGAGCTCCCTATGGGGCCACGAAACGTGTGAGGGGTGTGCCGAAATGGGTGTGCGGGACGCATGCGGACGGCAGCCATGGGGCCTTCGGTGGAGCTCCCTATGGGGCCACGAAACGTGTGAGGGGTGTGCCGAAATGGGTGTGCGGGACGCATGCGGACGGCAGCCATGGGGGCCTTCGGTGGAGCTCCCTGTGGGGCCACGAAACGTGTGAGGGGTGTGCCGAAAATGGAGTGTGCGGGACGCATGCGGACGGCAGCCATGGGGCCTTCGGTGGAGCTCCCTATGGGGCCACGAAACGTGTGAGGGGTGTGCCGAGAGCAGAGGCAAGGAGGGGGAGGAGGGAGGAGGGCGAGGAGGGGGAGGAGGAGAGGAGTAGGAGACGCGGGGCACCGTCTCTTCAAAACGAGGACCCAACACCACAGGATGGTTGGGAAAAACATCAGATCCATCTTCATACCGCTTGAGAGCGGCGATATCGCTTGAGAATTCCTCGCAGGGTATTTTCCGACCGCTTTTCACACCGCCAAAGAGTGGCGATTTCGTTTGGGCTGTCCTAACAACCGCGCGTCTCGTCAAACCCCTGCGTCGCCGTTCCTCCGTTCGGGTCACGACTCTGTCTGGGAGTTACTTGGGATCGATCGGAGGTCGAAGCTGGAGTTTTTTTTCGATTGGCGAAGACCCAGGGGTTGTTCCCTGCCATAGTGCCGATCACCACTTTTCAATCCAAGGGGTGGCACCCATGACAGAGGTGGTGGAAAATCGCTCCATCAGACGAGGAGGAAATGTCACGCAGCCTCTGTGCGACACTGTGCCCGAAAATCCGCCCGAGTGTGACCGAAACCAGCGCCCGAAATTTTCCGACGACGCCCGACTGTGACCGACATGTTTGGCTCGAAGTCAATACGACTTTCAATTCCGGTCACAAAATCGGTCACATTACGTTTTCAGTCGAAATTTCGGGCACGCTTGTTGGTCACAATGTTTTCGGTCACACACCTTTGTGTCAGAGAGGGGCCCGGCGCCATGAGAAATTCCTCTCTGAGGGTCTCAGGCGGCCTGGTGAGGTCTCTCGAAGACCATTGTGGTATCTGGGGGCCCGTGCAAAACGAACTTAACATGTTCAAGATATGGCACCTCGATCCTCCTCTTCCTCCTCCTCCTCCTCCTCCTCCTCCTCCTCCTCCTCCTCCGTCTCACCCTCTCCAGGGGCAAGGGCAGGTAGGACTTGGGTGACGGGACACATGCCCACAAATATCCCTGCTGACCAAGCCACAGCGCGGCAGCCCCGAATGAGCCGGTGGTGGGCGGACCCCAGCGTGGCGGCAAATATGTTGTGTTGCGTCAGCGCGCCACTGTATCAACTTGGCCAGTCATACCCGACATCGTCTGATGCAACTTGGATTCGCGAAATGAAGCAAATGTTTAGCGGTCCGACCGCGCGACTGACGGAACGAAGGCGCGATCTCAACGGGCTCTGAGTCGGCAGCGGCACACGCTGGAACGCAACGTACCTCAGGAGCGTGCGCGATTGAGGCCAGCCCGGGTCCAAGAGCGGAAATTGAGCAGAGACCGACCGTCCCGGCATTCCTATAGTCCTACCACGACATGTTCGTAGAACCCAAAAATGTTTGAAGAACAAAAACAATGATCTTAGACCATAATCCCGATGTGCTAAACCAAGACAGCCCCAACCAGGAATGTTCTGAGAACATATCGTGGGAACCACAAAGGGTTCTTCGAACATTGCTTGGTAGGACTATAGGCACGCCAGGACGCTTCGCCACTGCTTGAGGAAGGGAAAACATGGGACGCCATGCACCCGCCTCGACCCGACGACGCAAACAGTCGGCGTTCAGACGTCGGGAGGAGGAGGAGGAGGAGGAGGAGGAGGAGGAGGAGGAGGAGGAGAGAGGAGGAGGAGGAGGAGGAGGAGAGAGGAAGAGGAGGAGGAGGAGGTAGGAGGAGGAGGAGGAGGAGGAGGAGGAGGAGGAGGAGGAGGAGGAGGAGGAGGGAGGAGGAGGGAGGAGAGAGGAGGGAGGAGGGAGGAGGAGGACAAGGAGGAGGAGGAGGGAGGAGGAGGAGGAGGAGGAGGAGGAGGAGGAGATTTGGATGATGTCGTGTCGGTCGGTCGGGAGTTCCCTGGCAACTGCTTAGTTGACTTCGGGGTCACAGACAATATGAGAGACGCCATGCCTCCGCCCTTGCAAGATCACGAATGCCCTCAGCGCGGTCTCCTAGGATGCGGCTACCTCAGCGAAGAGATCTTTATAGACGGCTCGGGGGTCAACCCAGATGTGGAGTGGATGACGAGGGCAGGATGGGCGGTCGTATCTCTCAAGCACGGCAGCGAGCAAGTGTCATCGGTGGCCTACGGGCCAGTGCCAGGGCCTGTGCAGAGCGCGGGCTTGGCAGAGCATTACGCGTTCTACATTGCATTATGTCTCATGGGGCCCAGGGCGACCATTATCACGGATCAGAAGAACCTCTTGATAGGTCTCCAGAAGGGCCCCGAGAAGATGTGTAGAGTTTCAGAACCGTATTGGGAAGTCTGGCGACTTATATTCTGGAAATTGTATGATGCGGGGTCGGAGAATGTGAATCTTCAGTGGATGCCGTCTCATAAAAGCAGAACGTGGCTCAGGAATCACAACTTCTCGGACTCCTGGTACCCTGGAAATTGGCAGGCCGACAAGTATTCGAAGTTGGGGGCTCTAGAGCATCCAGTAGTTCCCCAGTTGGATCAAAGGATCCAGGCGGCCAAGGTTTTCGGTATGCAATTCACGAGGCTCCTGGCAGACACCCTGAGGCGCCTGAGTACTTTAGGATTTCCAGATGTGGATAAGATCCCGAGGGCTACACAGGTCCCCAGGCAGACCCAGATGTTAGTTGATGAACCCGTGTGCGTGCTAAACCTCACCACGGGGGATCGAGGCCACCTGCTGCACACCGCTGATGGCAGGTGGGGTTGCAGATCTTGTGGAGTGAATGCGGCTCGTCGGAGTGCAGTCATCCAGAATGAGTGTCCTGGCAAGCCGAGGGTGCTTGCGCGGACGGACGAGTCGCATCGCATGTGGGTGCTTGGCTCGGAATTGTATTTCTGTATGCAGTGCGGTTGCCACGCGCGGAAGCAGGTCAAGGACTTGGCCGCGCGCTGCCATCGCTTTGCAGGGACTGGGAAGGTAGGTGCATTGAAGTACATGCGCCAGGGCATGGATCCCACATCCAAGGTGTTGGTGGGGCGCCCCTTCCCAGTCCACTAATCTTCCCCAACGGGCCAGTCTTTCACCGAGGGATTGCGTCCGCAGAGGCTCCAGAGGCTCCATAGGAGGAGGAGGAGGAGGAGGAGGAGGAGGAGGAGGAGGAGGAGGAGGAGGAGGAGGAGGAGGAGGAGGAGGAGGAGGAGGAGGAGGAGGAGGAGGAGGAGGAGGAGGAGGAGGAGGAGGAGGAGGAGGAGGAGGTGGAGGAGGAGGAGGGAGGAGGAGGGAGGAGGGAGGAGGGAAGGAGGAGGAAGAGAGGAGGAGGAGGAGGTGGGGGGAGGAGGAGGAGGGAGGGAGGAGGAGGAGGAGGAGGAGAGGAGCGAGGAGGAGGAGGAGGAGGAGGAGGAGGAGGAGGAGGCAGGAGGAGGAGAGGAGGAGGAGGAGGAGGAGGAGGAGGAGGAGGAGGAGGAGGAGGAGGGGAGGAGGGAGGAGGAGGAGTTGAGGAGGAGGGAGGAGGGGCGGAGGAGGAGGAGGAGAGGAGGAGGAGGAGGAGGCAGGAAGGAGGAGGAGGAGGAGGAGAGGAGGAGGAGGAGGAGGAGGAGGAGAGGAGGAGGAGGAGGGAGGAGGAGGAGGAGGAGGAGGAGGAGGAGGGAGGAGGAGGAGGAGGAGGCGAGGAGGAGGGAGGAGGAGTGAGGAGGAGGAGGAGGAGGAGGTAGGAGGAGGAGGAGGAGGAGGAGGAGGAGGAGGAGGCGAGGAGGAGGAGGAGGAGGAGGAGGAGGAGGAGAGGGAGGAGTAGGAGGAGGAGGAGGAGAGGAGGAGGAGGAGAGGAGGGGAAGGAGGAGGAGGAAGGAGGAGAGGAGGCGAGGAGGAGGAGAGGAGGGAGGAGGAGGAGGAGGAGGAGGAGGGGAGGAGGGGAGGAGGAGGGAGGAGGAGGAGAGGAGGAGGAGGAGGAGGAGGAGAGGAGGAGGAGGAGGAGGAGAGGAGGGGAGGAGGAGGAGGAGGAGGAGGAGGAGGAGGGAGGAGGATGAGGAGGAGGAGGAGGAGGAGGAGGAGAGGAGGAGGAGGAGGAGGAGGAGGAGGAGGAGGAGGAGGAGGGAGGCCCGCCAGGCGCAGGGGGGAGCACGGGCGGCTCCCCGCGGGCCAAGACCCGCAGCGCGGCAGCTCTGCCCCAAACCCGCACGTGGCCACGTGCCGCCATAGGGAGGAGGGGGCGGCGTCTCGCCGCGGGGCGTCTGCTGTCCTAGGCGTATGTCGGGCGTGTCCCCCTACAGGGGGATTCTCGACGAAAAATAAAAGATACCCCAAGCATGCCCCAAAAAGGCCAAACAAATACTCCCAAAACAGTCCCCAGACTATGTTTGGAGCATTTTTGGGGTATTTCTTATTTTTCGTCGAAAATCCCCCTGTAGGGGGACAGGCCCGACCTAATCCTAGGCGGCCCAGGGAACGTCAGCCGCTCCACGATGTGCTTCATCTCTCCGATGCCCTGCATGATGCGGGGGACGGGCCGCTTGTAGTAGGTCGTCAGCAGGTAAGCCTGACACCTGAGGAGGGCGGAAACTCGTGGGCACACCGCCTCGGCGACAGGGACCGCGGCAGCACGCAAGACGCCCCCGAATGGCCGATGCCGCAGCCGCAGCCGGAGCACAAGCGCGCTGCACAAGCGGAGTGCATCAGACTTCTGGGCAGCTCTTCGCCTTCCACCTTCAGGAATCGCTTGGACAGCACAAGGAAGCGCAGGTGGGAGAGGGCGAGGAACAGGAGGAGGAAGCAAGTGTGACATGCGCCTCCATTGGGCCTCCATTGTCGCTAAAACCCATGACTTAGGGATTCACTTCCGATGGGTCAACCACCATCATAGGCACTCTTGCATTTGCGCCAGTGCACGCCGTGTATCCCCCGAAGGTATTCGCATTCCTGCAATTTCGACTCGACGTGCAGAAGGATGCGACGCGCATGCTCCTTCCGTGTCTCGTCCGACACAGACACTGGGACTCTTCATCGCATGATGCTCAGACACCCGACTGTGGACGCATCGGTGATTTCCAAGTGGGGCCGCATGGCCAATTGGGGGCCAGCGAGCGGTGCCACCGATGCCTTTACGTAGCGACCAGTTGAAGTAGCAGCCTCACAGCCCGACAGACGAGCTTGGGCATGACAAGCCCGGCAGACGCTAGCTGCAGGCATGGGACAACGACCCACAGATCGGAAGACGAGGGTCGAAACGTGAAGTAGGAGGGCGTTGTATGGGTATTGAGTTTCCGCCCACTCCCCGAAGAGGAAGGAAGTGGGGAAACCATTCCTTGAATTAGGAAGGCGCCTGGAGTAAATTGGGATATGGGAATCAGTACCACATACACCATCAATGAAACTTAGCCTGGCGAAGAACCCAGCCATATGCAGATGTGAGTACCGCAATTGTGAATATCTTCTTCGGTGGAGCGCCCTATGGGGCCACGAAACGCTGTACTGGGTGGGTGAAACGCAGGGAGCAAGGGCTGTGCTGGGTGGTGGCGGACGCAAGCGGGCGGTGCCACTGGGATCTTCCGTGGAGCATCCTATGGGGCCACGAAACACTATACTGGGTGGGCGAAACGCAGGGAGCAAGGGCTGTGCTGGGTGGTGGCGGACGCATGCGGGCGGTGCCACTGGGGGCTTCGGTGGAGCTCCCTATGGGGCCACGAAACGCTGTGCTGGGTTGGTGAGACGCATGGAAGAAGGAGGAGGGAGGAGGAGGGGGAAGAGGAGAAGAGGAGAGGAACGCGGGGACCGTCTCTTCAAAAGAGGACCCAACACCACAGGATGGTGGTTGGGAACAACCCGTACGCTTTGGCTGAAGCGTTTTTCCCCGCCCGCCTGAGCTCCACGGCGAAGACGAGAAAATTGATGATCACCATGATCGGGGCAACGGCTCCAAATATCAGCGAAGAGCCTAAGGGTATTAGCAGCCGCATGGTGTGCCGATACTGCTGCAAGGTGCGGTACTCCCCGAAGTAAGACTGCGCCTCCGCTCGCTTCTGCTCACCCTACCCGCGTGGCCGTCTCCGCCTCTCCTCCCCCAAGCTCTTGCTTTCTCGCTTCCCTCCGTCCATCCCTCGCTGACTGTCCTCCTCCTCCTCAACCCCGCGTAGCTCCTCCTCCCCCTCCTCCGCCTCCTCTCCCCCCTCCCTCTCCTTCCCTCCTCGGCCCCTCCCCCGCGGTGAAGATGAGCTGCGCGCCCCCTCTCCCGAGGCTGCCTCGGCGGCCAGGCCTCCCTGGGATCCCCCGGGGCTCCGCAGGGCTTCCATTAGGTCGGGCAGGCATGTCCTCCTGCAGGGGGATCTCGGGCGAAAAATAAAACATGTCCCAACAATGTGAGAACATAGTCCAAGATTGTCAAACATCGTCCCCAGACTATGTTGTTGACTATCTTTGAATATTCCTCCTGTAGAGGGACACGCCCGACTTGACTCAAGGCTTCCAAGACAGCGCAGGAGGGCCGCCAAGGCCACCGAGATGGCCCAGCATCGCCTCAAGAGGCATCCAGCAGCCCACAAGAAGACCCAACGAGACGCCAAAGGGGCCCTAGCAAGCATCGAATACACAAACAAAAAGGCCAGAGAGGCCTTCAAGGACGGCCAAGAGCATTGAAAACCCAAGAAAACCCGGTCCACAACATTATAAGCCCAAGGCAATCCATCGAATGCGTTGCGTTTCCTGGCCCTCCTGGCGCAAAACTGTTCCAAGAGGGCAGTCAAAGGGCCAAACAGAAGCCAAAAGAGCACAATGACGGCCAGAATAAGCTCCCCAGACGGCCCAGGACATTCCCAGGAGAGCCACAAGACGACACAAGAGGGGTCGAGGACAGCCCAAGATGGCCTCAAGTGGGCCCCAAGACAGCCCCCCAAAAGACGCCCCAGACTGCCGAGAGGGGCCCAAGAGGGCACCAAGACGGCACAAGATAACCCCAAGACTGCCCACTCATATCCACAGAGGTTTCCGCAGGAGCCCAAGGCAGCCCCAAGACAGATGGCTCAGGAAGACACGGTGACAGCCCCTCAAAGAATAAAGGGAAGAGGTGTCACATGTGACGGCCTTATGAGCAGTGCTCGAAGCGTTGCCATGATTTCTGCGCTGGCAAGATGGCGTGACGTGCCGCAAGCAACTTAACAACCCCCTTAATAATCACTGTGCAGCGCAACAAACGCACTTCGCATAGGAACGTCAATCGAATCGCAGAAGACATCGAATCGGATCCAGTCGAAGGCGTCAAACCGACGGGCCATGGGGTCACGCAATCGCCTGAATCATACAGGCTCAAATCTTCAATCCATAGATCAAACAAGGAGGTACGACACATCAAGACGACTCCCGATGCCTCCAACAGCGGTAACTTCACACGCCTCCAGCGGAGCTGCCACTCCACATGGGCCACCGAATCGAGGAACGCGAAGATACAGTCCAGAAGACAAATACACTGCCTCAAACACAACTGCTTTCGCAGAACAGAAAGGCACACCTCTTCCCCACAGTTGCCGTGCATCAGGAACTCCTGCCTCACACCCAAGTAGATGAAGGGCAGGTAGTGGTTGACGCATTGGAAAAGAAACATCTTCGATATAAAGCTATCAAAATACGCATCCTGGAACTTATGATTTTCCCAATCAGTCAAGCCCCGTACAACATAGGCACACACTTTGTCCAACACAGCGATTTGCACACTCAAAATGAGGGACGCGACCATGTTCATATCATGGGAAAATGTGTGATACCACCAGGCGATGCTTGGCGCAACCATGCAGCAGAACGCGAACATGACCACCTTCGATACGAATCTTCGAAACGCGTATGACGAAGTGCGCCCATGGGGCCAGTGCAACTCGAACATGCTATTGTCGTAGTGCGCAGGTCGACGAGATCCCCTGAATTGCGGGCGCATGGCTCGACGCATACGCTCAGTATCGAGGCTCCAAAACGTGGTGAAAAAATGCTGCTCTTGATCCCAGACCTCCCGGAGGACCGTCGACCAAACGATAATGACGAGCGCCGGGCCGAAAACTGGCATGGTGCGCTTGTGGCCATGGAGCTGCCTCATATCCACAAGCTCAAACAGCAGCGCCGCAGGGATCAGGGCAAGGAGCCCTCTCGTGTAGAGGCCATTCCTGGGGAGCACCCACACTGCACCTACCCCACCTTGCCCCAGCCCAGGGGTTGGGGGAATTCAAACAATTCCTGCATCCTAAGAGGGGGTTCTCGGTATTTCTGAGACGCCCGCCTCCTCACTCACTCACTGACTAACTCCCGCCTCCACCGCCCTCTCGTCACACTCACATTACTCATACTCAGGCTCGCTCACAATAACACTCAAGTTCATACCCAGGCCTCCAGACTCAGAGACGCTCACAGGTGAACAACCCACTAGAAAACTCCAATCAGTCTGGCGACGTTTGCTACGAAAGAAACAAGCCGCATCGACAACAGCGAATCACGGGGCCAAGGGGGAGCCGCCCGCCCAGGAGTACGACGCTCGCCCCTGCGCGCCCAGGCTGTGGGGATGCCTCGAGCCATCTGCCCGGCTCGGCGCCCCGGACTCATCTTTCTCTCCTGCAAGCCCGATGGCCGCAGCGAGCTCAGGCGTGGCACTTGGGCACCCCAGGGGAGGGCCGCCAGGGTTAAGTCGGGCCTGTCCCCCTACAGGGGAATTTTCGACGACAAATAAAAAATACCCCAAAAATAATACAAACATACTCCACAAATAGTCTGGGGACTATTTTGTGGATTTTGTTTTACCTTTTTGGTGTATTTTGAGGGTATGTTGTATGCTTCGTCGAAAATCCGCCTGTAGGGGGACACGCCCGACATAACGCCAGGGAGGGGGCCGCGCTCCTCTTCGCGTCCGTCCTCGGACCACCCGAAGTAGCTCGAGCACTCTCTACCAGCCTGGAACATCTCCCTATCCCTATGCTGGGCATCTCCTCATCACGATGCCAATCTTAGGGATGCCCTCATTTTTGGAGGGGGCGCATCCCCAAGATTGTCATCGCCTCTTGGCGGCGTGTCAATCTGAGGGATAGGGATTTTCGACGAAAAATAAAAAATACCCCCAAAATAATCAAAAAATACTCCAAAAATAGTCTGGGGACTATCTTTTGGGCATTTTTGTGTTTCCTTTTTGGTGTAGTTTGGGGGTATTTTTTACTTTTCGTCGAAAATCCCCCTGTGGGGGGACACGCCCGACATAACGCCAGGGAGGGGGCCACGCTCCCGTTCGCGTCCGCCCTCGGACCACCCGAAGTAGCTCGAGCACTCTGGCCTGCGAGGGGGCCGCCCGCCCGTGCCGCGCCGCCTGCTCCGCCCTTGGCTCCAGCACTCTGGCCGGTGCGCCGCCTCGCGCGGCGTGCGGCGCGGCCACCGCACTTTTGTGGCCTTGATCCCGATAAGAGGAAAGGGGCCCCAGGACACACGAATAAATACACACACATAAAAAGATGCCCCCTATTTCCCCACATTTCCTGGGTGTCTGTCTTCCCCCCCCACTTCCCATACTTTCCCATGCTTTCTGGGGAGTCGACGATTAATTGTGTCTGTGTGTTTCTTCCCCTACTGAAAGAAGTGCTGATAAGAAGAGTGCATGAGCGCGTTTCTTTGTTTTCGGCGATCATGGGCATTCTGGGAGGGGTGGAGGGGGGGAGGTGCCAAGGGGGGGGGGTATAATGTAATGCCTCCCTCCCGCCGTGCGCACGGCGGCAGTGTCCGGAGCGCACTGGAGGGTGGGGGGGGGCGTTGCGTTAAAGGGGGGGGGGCGGGGGGGGGCTATGATGCCCACTGTGCCCCAAGCAAGAAAGGAGCACGCTCCATTTGAAAACCCTGTGATCACCGCGACCCAGCAAGGCGTAGCATCAGGTCGGGCATGTCCCCCTCTGCAGGCGGAGTTGGGGTGAAAAGGTCAAACGATAACCCCCCAAATGCCCCTAACCAGACAACGGATGATCAAAACGTAGCCCCAAGACGGTTTGTTGGACTATTTCTGGATATATTCCTCCTGCAGACGGGACACGCCCGACTTCAGCGCAGCACGTGGGCAGCCCCGGGGGGGAACCACCGCCGGGGAGAGGCACGCCCCGGCCGCCGCTGCGGCCCGTCGCAGCCGGGCGCTCCACGGGGGGGGGGGGGGGAGGCAGGAAGCCGCCGGGGGGCGCTCTCGGCCGCCGCAAGGGGGTGAGATCCCTGCGTCCTCGCCCGGGCGCTCGCCACGACGGGAGCGCCGGGAGCTGGCGTGCGTCGATGCGGGGATCTCCGCGTCGAGCCATCTGCGCCCCCGCGGGGATCCCTCGCGCGCCGAAGGCGTGGCTTGGCATGGGGGGGTGGGGGAGGGGGGGGGAGGGGGGGAGGAGGGGAGGAGGGGGGGAGGGGGAGCAGGGGAGGAGGGGGCCGGAGGAGCGTGGGCATTCCACTGAGACCCCGCGGTTCCAGGCGAACTGAAAGGCGACCCTGGACCCAAAGTACTCGCGGATCCAGGGCAGCGGCTGGGCCATCCCCAGGTTGCGCCAATCGCCCCAGACGTCGAAGAGCCTGTCCAGCTTGGCGCTCTCGTGCGACGGGTACCAGTCCAAAATCAATCGCGCTTCCTTTCAAGCCAGGGCGAATTGAGACAACGGCAACTCTGAATCGATCTCCAAACCCCTCCTGGTTTCCGAAAACACCAGAGTCCCGAGCTGCGCCCAACCGTGTTGACGAGGGGGCTCCCCGAAGGCCACCTACCGTGTTCTCCACTCGCCCTCCCCCTGATCCTTCGCGGCGTCGAGGTCCACGAGTCCAGAGAGCTCGTTGTGGATGACGCGGAAGCGGTTGCGAGACGACATGGGGCCCACCTTCTTGTAGAGCTTGTGCTCGTCCTCTCGGGCGTTCGTTCATTTACCAGCCTCGAACGTATCCCCTATCCCCAAGATCGACACGCCAGAAGGCGATGGCAATCTCAGGGATGCGCCCTCAAAAAAGAAGGGACTCCCTGAGATTGGCGTCGTGAGGAGGAGGTGCCCAGCATAGGGATGGGGAGATGTTCCAGGCTGGTAATTCGTGGGCGTGCTGCTAAGCATGGGCTGAGGAAACGTGCGCCTCGCGCGCTACCCTTCTCTGGCCCGTGGTGGCAGGTCAGGGCTTCTGTTCCAGGGGTAACTGGCCATCGCTCGGACGTCCATTCCCTGTGCTTTTTGTTCGGTTTCGTGCGCGGCTTTTTCGCCAAATGAGCAAGGCTGCTCCTCGATCGCCCTCGCCGAGACAAAATGCACACGTCCGAGCGATGCCAGGGTAATCCTCGATCCTTCGACGTCTGTCCTTTCCATCCGCTCCGAGCACACTCGACCACCACTCTGCCGGGCGACCCCGTGAGGGCCACGTTCCTGCCCCCCCCCCCGCTGCCGTCCGCCCAGGTCCTCGGAGGGGAGCCTCCCAGCGGCGAACAGCTCGCGCACGACCTTCGTGTCGTAGGGGATGTAGGGCGGCGACGAGGCGAACTCGTCGCGGGGCTGGTGGACCCCGAGCTCCTTTATCACGTCCTGCCTGCGGCGTCAGCTGCTTTTGTTTCGCGATCGTCCCTGAGCAGCTCGTCTGGACATGTCTGCTGGGGCTCCCAACGTCGCGCTTCGCGCTCCGCGAAGCGCGAATGACTTCGCGCTCTCGCGCCGCCCCCCCCCCAAAGGGAGAAAAGGAGGACGAGGAGGAGGGGGAGAAGGAGCGAGGACCGCGGAGCGGGAATCACTCCGCGCCCTCGCGGGAGCCCTTGCGTGTGCGTGCTCCTGGCGGAGCAGCTCGGCATCGCGCCCCGGCTGAGGAGACAGCGGGGCCCCGACGCACACCGCGGCCGCCGGGCCTCGACAAAAACTGTGCCGGTGCCCTCGGGGTGCTCTGCCTCGCACGCTCGGCGAGGGGCGACGGCATGCCGCGGCCACCGGCCCGAGACGGTGCAGGTGCTCCCTGGGTGTCCCGCCCGGCGCTCGTGGGCGGGGGGCGCTCGAGGAGGACATGCATGTTTCGTCATGCTCTTCGGTGTTTTTTGTGCTAACTCTCTCTCTCTCTCACTCTCTCTCTCTCTCTCTCACTGCCCTCCCCCTCTTCCAGTCCTCCCTCTGCCACCCTCACCCTCTCTCGAGGAGTGTCAGAGGGGCGGCTGGCAGTGTAGACCCTGCGATATGCTTAAGAAATTATGGGTTAAGAAATTCAGAGTCTCAGAACTGGAATGAAAGCCCAGAACTTCTATCAAAATCTTGGGATCTACATTGAAACATTAAGAATAATCGAGACTCTGGCCGAAAACCTAAGTTTTCCTAAGCATCGCCTAAGGTGTAGAGGAGCAGGCGTCCTGCCTGATCTGCAAGTACATGTCGTTCTTGGCGATGTAATGGCGCGTGACCTCCGGGCTCCTCAAACTGACGGCCACGTGCAGCCCCGTGCCGCTCTCTGACCGGAAGGCCTCCGTGTGGAAGTGCATATTCTCGCTCAGCAGTTGAACCACATCTTGCAGGAAACATGTCCGCAGCTGCCGCCTGGGCTGGCGAACACTTCGACTCAAAATCTGCTTCCAGCGGTCGGTCTCCGCGTCTCCCTGATCGCTCCACAACTCCGACGCCTGCACGCCGAGCGTGGACAACATCCTGGAGAGCACGGCGTCCAACGGGATTGACGCGCTTTTGTGGTCCAGCCGAAGGGATGGATGAATCACATGGATCACGTCTTCCAGCGACATGTCCTGAAGGTCGTCTGGATGGGCGGCGTCTGGATGATGGAATACGAGCACGAGGTCTGGTTCCAGCTCGGCGGAATCCTCACGGTTGATGTTGGCGCATCCTCGTAACGGGCTTCCCACATAATCGTGATGATCAACCCTGGCATGCCAATCTCTCAAAATCTGCGGATTCTCATCCTTATGCAGAAAGACGGCATAATATACTAACCACGCGAGACATATGAAAAGCTCACTCAGTTCAACGATGAGCACAGGCCACCTGACGCGCCATCCACCCATCCATATGTAACCAAATCTGTCAAAGTCGTCAGCAACTGCCTTAGATATACTGGAATTGAATACGGCCCTTATTTCCGAGCCCACTTCTGTGATATCGTTTCGGATTTGCTTGACTACCACCTCTCTCTTTGGAGGATCTTCTGGAGACGCATGCCGCGCACCTCTCGCAGTCCACAGGGCCGCACTTGTCGGAACTCTGAAGCTACTGAGCACCAGCACAAAAAACGGTGGAGGCGGTACACATCGCGTGCATCGGTGCACGCCCATGAAAAAGTCCCTACATTTGGTCGGGGGGCCATGCTAGTCGCGCTCGGGCCAGCATGGCAGTGGCTGGCGGACGGGATTCCGGCGAGCTCGGTGGGCACCCGCCCCCGCGAGAGGCCCGAGAGCACCCATTCCGAATTCGCGGCGCGCAGAGGAGGGGCGAGGAGAGGGGGTGGTCTCCTAAGAAGGCAGGGGAGGGGGCCTATCATACAGGAGGGCTAGGAGGCCTCCACGAAATAGGGTTTCTTAGAAGTCGGGAGGGCCTCTACTGGGACCCCTGATTTCTGAGACGGCCGTCGTCACTCGCCCCACCCCTTCTCCGCTCGTCGCGCGGGACGGGTGCAAGGCAAAGGCCACCCTGGAGATCCCCTTCTTGCTGACTGCAAGCCGCATCTCGGCCCAGGCTGGGGCCTCAGGCGGTGGAGAGAGCTCGCTCCTCCCCCCTCCACCCTCCCCCCCTTTTTTCCTCTCCTCGCCCCCTCCCTCCGCCCCCCGCGAGGAGCGCCCAAAACTTACGTTCATGGCGCCTTTCTTCTTCGAGGGTAGCGGTATCGGCACCTGTTCCTCCTCCTCTTGCTCCTCCTCCTCCGCCTCATGCTCCTCCTCCTCCTCCTCCTCCTCCTCCTCCTCCTCCTCCTGCTCCTGCTCCTGCTCCTGCACCTCCCCCTCCTCCTCCTCCTCCTCCTCCTCCCCTCCCTCCTCCTCCTCCCTCCTCCTCCTCCTCCTACTGCTCCTCTCCTCCTCCTCCTCCTCCTCCTCTCCTCCTCCTCCTCCTCCTCCTCCTCCTGCTCCTCCCTCCTGAGGGCCGCCCGGCGGCCCGCCGGCGCCGCGCCGCGTGCGGCGCAGCGGTGGTGGCCCTCGCGGGCGGCGCGCCGCCCGAGGGGCCCCGCGGCGATCACCGCGCGGCCAGCGCGCGGGCCGCGAGGGGCGGCGGCGGGCGCCCTCGCCCGGATGCGGGCCCCAAGAATGCACGCCACGGCCACGTCGACTCCTCCTCCTCCTCCTCCTCCTCCTCCTCCTCCTCCTCTCGTCCTCCTCCTCCTCCTCCTCCTCCTCCTCCTCCTCCTCCTCCTCGCCAGGCCCACGGACTTTTCAGACACGACTCAGGATGAAACACCAGTCCCGGGGAATATGTCGGTCGAGACTCCTGGGGACCTCCCGCACTTGACACGACCACGACGCCGGATCTCTGGGCCGACCCGGGCTGGAGAGAGCGAGGCCGGAAGCTGGGGCCCCCTTGGGGCCCCCGTCGTGTTCTTTCTTCTGCTCCGCGAGGCCGCCCTTCCCGGCGATGCCGCCGCCCTGCCCGTCGCAGCCGCCGCACCTCCGGGCGCCGCCGCGGCGGCCCCTCGGCGGGCGCCGCCGCGGCGGCGGGCGCCCCGCCGCGGGCGCGAGGAGTGCGGGCCGCGGGCGCGTGCTGCCGGCGCGGGCTGCGCGGGGCCGCGTCGAGGGCGCGCGCGAGCGCCCGCGGGCGGGGTGCGGGCGCCGCCGTGGCGCGCCGAGGGTCCGCGTGGGCACCTATCGCGCGGCCCGCCGTCGGGGCGTCTGCCGTCGGGAGCTGCTGGGTCGCGTTCGGTCGGGCACGCCCTCCTGCAGGCGGCTGTCGGAAGACAGAAGTACAGGGCAGCCTTTGATACATAGGATGTTTAAGCATATAGGATTTTAATGCATGACTAATTTATGAATGCATGTATGCATGAACTCATCGTTGTTTTTAATACTAAATCCCTGCATTTTTAATACATGATCCGCACGCGGAGCATGTATTAAAAACGGCACTGTACAATGATCATACATACTCTCAGAGCTGGCCACAAACAGCCGGGAGGTCCTCCCCAGACCATGTTCTTAACTATTCTTGGATACTGCTCCTGTAGAGAGGGACGTGCCCGGCTTACGGTTGGGTCGGGCATGTCCCCCCACAGGCGGGTTCTGGGCGACAAATTAGGACTACCCGTCAAAAAGTGGACAAACATATTCAAGACATGCTCAAAAAATCGTCCCCCGACTATCTCTGAATGTTCCTCCTGTGGAGGGGCGTGCCCGACTTCAACGTAAGGATAGCGTGCCGCTCCGCGGGCTCTGGCCCACCACGCTCCGGTGCGGGACGCCGTCCACTTCTGTTAAGGGGCCCTGGGACACACAAACAAAGACACAAAGGTGAGAGGATTCCCCATATCTTCCAATATTTTCTGGGCTTCTGTCTTCCCCACCACGAGAGGCCTCCTAGATGGGGTCGGAGTAGATGGGGTCCGAAGATCGCACCGCATCGCCAATGCATCGGCGATGCATCGGCGATGCACCGGCGATGCATCGGCGATGCACCGGCGATGCATCGTCGACATCGGCGATGCATCGGCGACGTCGACGTGAAGCAAGTCGGGCTGCACATCGAGCCGCATCGCCGATGTATCGGCGATGCGGCGCGATCCTCCGACCCCATCTACTCCGACCCCATCTACTCCGACCCCGAACCACTTCTGAAGGGGGCCCTGGGACACACAAACAAAGACACATAGGTGAAAGGATTCTCCATATCTTCCCATATGTTCTGGGCTTCTGTCTTCCCCACCACTGCCCATGTTTTCCTAGATTTTCTTGGGAATCGGCTCGATTTTCTGGGGAACCGTGCTAAGATCTCGGGTAACTACTTAACAATACTTCTAATTCGCGCGCGCGGGGCGGCCCCTGGGGGGCCCCGGACGAAAAGTACCCGGCCGATCCCCGGCTGATCCCCGGGCGATCCCCAGGGGGGAGGCTATTTTTCGCCACCCCTCACGAGGATCGTGGCCTCCGAGGGGGGGGCTGCCAACGACTACCCTACCCCCCCTCCCGCCCCAAGGGGCCCCCAAGAGCCCCCCAAGAGGCCCCAGGGGAGCCCAATACGCAGCCGCCAAGGAGCCCCAAGACGCTCCCAAGAAGCCCCCAAGAAGCCCCCAAGACGGCCCCAAGAGGCCACAAATAGCGCTCCAGGGCAGGCGGAATGAGCGAAGCGATTAAATAAAAAAGCAGTCAGACAATAGCCACAAGTGTTCAAGCACACTCGAGAGACCATCCCCGGACGGTTTTTCGACTACTCCTGAAGATTCCTCCTGCAGGGGGACAGGCCCGCCTTCACGCTATCCAGAAGTGCCCGACCGCATCAGGGACGTCGGCGAGGGCGAGGGCGCCCCGAAGTGAGGCGCGCTCGGCTCGGCCGTGCTCATCAGCAGAAGGCTGCCTGAGATGGGGCTCGCGTCATCGGCGGCAGCGCCGGCATCGGAGGCTTCGTGGCGAGCTGCGTCGGCGTCGGCAGCATCGTCGACGACATCGGCGGCGTCGACAACACTGTCCAAGGCATGGGCGGCTTGGCCAGCAGCGCCGACGAAAGCATGTGCGCAGCGGCGGCAAGCCACGTGCGGCGGAGTCTGTCGCAACCTCTTTTGTGGTCAGCCGTCGGAGGGCGGCATGACCCACAGAAAAGGAAATACAGAGGCAGCGGCGACAAACAAGCCGCGCGCGCGGCGGAGGCTGCGGCTCCTGCTGGGGACGGGGCGTGGGCAGCATCGATGGGAGCGATCGGCGGGTTGGGCGGCCGCGCCAAAGGCATCAGCGGCCGACAGCGTCGGCAACGCCGTCGTGGGCATCAGCGGCACTGTTGGTTCCGGGAGTACCGTCAACTTGTTCAGCATCGTCGGGGGTGTTGACCGGGAGGTCAGTATGGTCGACGCACCCCACTCTAGAGTAGAGGACCAGCGAAGCTCCTCTCCTCCTGCTTCCTCTCCCTCCTCCGTCCCCCCTGTCC